CTGCCCTCTGTCATTTATGTTACTTCTCACCAATTCTTTATATTTTTAATGTAAATTATTTTCTCTTGATTGTCCAAGGTCGAGTTAAAAAATTTTCTCAGAGTGCTTCCAGGTCTTTGTACAACTTCTTCCTTCATACTCTCAGTAAAATATTCTTACTGTCTCTGCTCCGCCACACACAATTTGCCTTCTGGGTGGTTTCCAAACAGAGCCGGCAGCCCATAACCCCTCAGTCTGTTCCTGCCTGACTTTTTCATTCTCAGGGACTAACTAAATCCCATTTTGTTTTCTTGTGCTTACTTTCAGTGACAGCTTGTTTTACACCCTGATAGAATGTGCACCTGACAGAAAGTGAAGCCATATATAGACACCTATATAAATGCCTATTCATTTAGTGATATTTTAGGAAGATGGAAGCGCAGGGTGTGTTGGTCCCAACCTAAATCTGACTCTACCAGCTTCCCATCCCTCACTTCCCTCCAACTGGGTGTTTTCATTTATGGACTTTTCCACCTCATCCCTGCTTCACCCGAGGGACTGCTTTTGCACATCTAGCCACATCGTCTTGCCTCTGTATCTCCTCTGTGCAGTTTTCTCCAGTCAGCTTCAGTTGCTTTGTTCCAAATAGGCCATGATATGGTTTGACCAAATCATGCTGCACCTGCCCTCTAGTGTCCCAGTGCTATCATGCAACGCTCACACAGTCAAGAACCCAACATTTAGACAATATAAACAGAAAAATACTCCATGAGAGCATTGTCTGTTTACTATACTGTATGTTTATTTCATGCAAATATATTTCCAGTAGTATTTTTCAGACACAGGTTTCTCCACATGAAAGAAATAATCAACTCTGAATTAAGAAAAGTGTTTGTTTTATTGCCCCATACCAGTATAACTAGTCTAAAAGTGAAGATGCCTTGATCAGGCTGAGGCTTAGGGTGTATAAACAACTAAATTTCAGTAGGTTTTAGCCTAGGAGCTGGCTCGGAATGGTCTGACCATCACTGAGCTGCTGGTGAACAGTGTGGGGAAGAAACTGTTCAGGAAGCTGTTCTTCAGTCGGTGCTGGAAGTGGACATATCTCACCCCAGGTCCATAGTCAGAGAACACATACGACACCTGCAGGCCAAAACAGAAACATGCAATGAATAACTTGGATAGAGACAGACTACTGAAGGAAGCACAATGGTGCAGTGGTTAGCACTGTCACCTCACAGCATGGAAGACTCCAGATTCAGACCTCAAACCTTGCTGTGCCTTTGTAGGTTTTCTCCAGGTACTCCAGCTTCTTCCCATTCCATCTTAGGTTGACTGGTGACTCTAAATTGCCCATAGGTGTGAATGTGAGTGTGACTGGTTGTCTGTTGCTAAGTGTCAGTCCTGTGATAGACCGGTGACCTGTCCAGGGTGGACCCCGCCTCTCACCCAATGTCAGCTGGTATTGGCTCCAGCACCCCCGCCCCAAGACCCTCTACAGGATAAGCAATACAGATACTGGAAGGATGGATTATTAGACCTGTCAGGGGACTCAATAACTCACCTCCTTCCAGGTGTGTGAGTAAGTGCTGCGGTCCTCAGTGGGACTGACAGTGTGTTCTGAGATCACTGTGCTTTTGTCAGCACCCAGTAGCTTTACATGCAGCTGGTAGATAGAGTCATGGATCTGACTCTCCTCATACCTGACAAAAGAACAGATAAGTAAATGTTTACATAGTGTTTACAGAAGTGATAATTCATTGTCTCAGGTGTCTTGTCTTGCTTTGTTGGACCAAAGTGGATTAAGAAGGAGAGTGACATCTCCACCAACCCCACAATGACTTTTTTTTTTTCTTTTTTTTTTAACACTTAATGGTGGATCATTGGAATGTTGAACAGTTCCAAATATTAGGAGCAGCACCACAGAGTTACACTGACTTGGCTGCCATCTTTTCAGGTAAGAAGCTGAAATCAATAGTAACAACTTGTGACATTTTAAGTTAGTGACATGTGTCAAAACATTTTACAACCTTTTTGACTGTTTCTCTCAAATATTGTCACTTTAATAGAATAGGTACCTAGCCAGCTAGCTATGTTAGCTGAGCTATCTGCAGCCAAAGAACATAGAATTTGTTTGCAAGGCTGTACAAGGCATTAAAAATAGTAACTGCTTATAGATCGCACTGTCCCCTACAGAAAACAATGGATATTAATCAACTGTTAGGAACTATTTGAAGCTACATGAGTCACGTTGCCATTTTTGACCCCTCAGTGTCACAGCTCTTCTATCTTAATGGCTCTGTGTATGACTAACAGCCAAATATATTAAGTTTACCAGGACATAAAACATAACTTTCTAGAAAATTTGTCGTAACAACAATCTAAACCTGTTTGACCCCTCAGTGTCAAAGAGTGGACCAAAGAGTGGATGGACATACTGTAGATGACATGAATAAAGACAGCCTTTGTTTCTAATTTCCAGAAACAACTATTTTTTGTAAATCTAAAAATATCAAAATAAAGCAGTGCAATAATGCACATAAAGGTCCTATGCCTATAAAAAAAAATGTAATTAAAAAAAAAAAAAACACAAACATTATTTATACTAGTTTGTACCACAGAAAACTGTTAGGATGTAAAGCTATAATTAAAGCTACTGAATTTCACTTACACCTACAAAGTAGATGTTTCTTGTTCTAGTCGATTCTATGCAGCTTTACTGATTATGAACATCTGGTTAATTCCCTCAGTGCAATCATATTTTGATTCTAAGATAAAATACCAAAATGAGTCAAAAGCTGGTCGTTTTTCCTTCAAGCAATTCCAGGTTATCACACAGTTTTCTAGGTGAACCGTGCAGATGCACTGACTAAAACATGCACTGTGCATTGTGTCATACACCAACAAAGCTGATAAGTAATCAGTTGGTCTGGTATAAAGACTGGAGGTAGGCCGTGCTCATTAACTCACCAGTCTTGGATGGCTATTTCAGGCTGAAATGTATCCAGCAGCTCTTCCCACAGTCCTTCTGCCTTCAGGTCCACAACCTGCTCCATGGTGAACCAGCTGAGGACAACAGAGCAGACAGGAGTCACATTTACCACCTGCTTTTTACAGTATGTTGTATCCCGGTCTTACACTGTATGTGCTGGTTTTCCACCTCCTATTGTAGTTGTAAGTGTACTGGTAATCCCTGTTATAACTCACTGTACTGTAGGTGAAGCATCCTTCATGGTAACACCCACCTATACTGAGGTAATTGACAGATAACCGCGCCTGCTGGGATGCCACTGGTATCATAGGGTAGGACTTCGGTGCTCGTGCTCCAGCCAGTGAAGTCACCTATGAATTAAGAGATTAGATTTGCAAAACATTTTCCTTGTTTTCATTTGCTGTCAAACAAGCTGATCTCTCACCATCAGGTTGGAAACGTGGAGGTCCATGGGATGGCACTGCAGGCAGGTCAGGTTCAGGGGGAGGGGTGTCCTTACTCAATCCTGTGCCAGGAATAAGACAAAGTGACAACTATAGAAGGCACCACACCTACCCAAGCCACTGCAATCCTACTGTAAATATTAAAAAACTACAAAAAATGTATTTGTAACTGGGTTACAGGGTGTGTCTCAGTGTGAAAAATGAAAAGGGAGGATTAGTCAGCAACTCATTCTATGCATCATCAGCTTTTCAACTTCAGCTTTTCCCTTAGCAAATACAGCGGTCATTCATCTTATAAATGATGTTGCTTTACAATCCAGTGACCTTGGTGTACTGTTCCCCTCCCGGGCAATCAACATTAGTTTAATGCTTAATGTGAATGTAGGTGTTATAGCCAATTGTTTGCTGCTTTTCCTCATTACAAATCAGACTGGACCAATATCTCCTATGAAAACAAATGCATGCATTGGTTATTGGCTTAGTACTGTTACAAAAAATTAAGCACATCAGTTTCTTATAACAACTGGTCTAAATCCTTATGTCATCAAGGGCACATCAAGTCACTTTCTGCCTATTTTACTTTCCTAATGAAGGCACTTTAAAATGTAGCTTAAAAACACATTGTTGAGCTTTTTCAAAAGCAATTTTAGAT